TTCTCTCTAAAAGATGGCATAACAGAAGAAAGTGTGAGGGTTTCTTTGAAAACTGTTTTTATGCCCCACTACTTTACTAATTCACCTCTCTTTTTTATGAGAAGGCATGACGGCAAAATTTGGACATGTCAAAAGGTCTCAGTTTGTCTATCTTTGACTAAATGGTCTTACACATGTATTCCTGGAAAATAATTATCCTTTGGGCCCTATTAAGAATAATATCTCTCTACTGAGGAATAAACTTTTAGACAGACAAAGACCTTTTCCCATGTCCTAATTTTGCCGTCAGGCCTTCTCTCAAAAAAGCGAGGCGAATTAGTAAATTAGTGGGGCATAAAAACAGTGTTCAAAGAAACTCTCACACTTTCTTCTGTTCTGCCATCTTTTGGAGAGAAATATGACCCAATATCGAGATCCGGCTGCTACAAGATTGTTTGTTCGTGTGGTCGATGTTATGTTGGTGAGGCATGCCGACCTATCCAACAAAGAATGGGAGAACACAGAAATGTTTGTAAAATAAGCTGGATCCAACGATCAGAAGTGGCCGAACATGAACTCAAACGAGTAGGTTTGCTGATTATGGTAAGTCTGCGGTTAAAAAAAAATAAGAGAGGCTATTGAAATTGACAGATTAGGAAATACTTTGAATGTGAAGAGCGTTGGTAGAAAGGTTGAGATTACGCAACCTCAGTCTTGCCTTTCTTTGGAGGACTAAACATTAATGACCCTAGACCGAGAGGTAAGGACAAGTGGTTTCGTAACTTGACTTAAATGCTTACAAGCTCACATCTCATTATCTCAACCATACTTGTTTACGGACTTACATTATCTCGGTCAAAGCCTTGATGATCATAACCTGAAAGTAAACTTTTGACAACTCTGATTTAGGAACCGTATTGCATATAGACGCTAACATGCACACATAAACATACACATACACTTGAGCAAAAGTAACAGGGCCAGTATGAAAGATAATCAACCAAACCACTCTATATCAATCTATCTGAGTTTTTTAATTTTTAATTTTCTTTTGGATCAATTGAGCCTATATAGTAAGTAAGATAGGGCCTAGTGTTAATGTGAGACTGTTATAAGAATGAAACCCAGCTCTGAGGATGTCTAGCATATGATGGACGAAAGCTCAACACGTTTTCACCCGAAACGAGGGAGGAAGTCTCGTGGACAGCGTCAACATGTATATCGTATAAAAGCAAAACGGCTGCAATACAACGGCATTCATTCGTCCTCTTCTGGTGAGATTGACCTACGAATTTCTTCTTCATGCACTTTTATATGAAATGAAAGTCACCCAAACAATGTCATCTCAAGAGATTCATCGAAGCCCAGTTTCTCTTCGTATAAACCAAAGATGGTTTATAATAATCTTATAATGATTTAATGCGATTGGAGTATAACTAAACATTTGATCAACTCTAGCTTATAAGCGATTTCACGCTTTTACGATGTCCTTTACATCAGAATAGACAAAAACTCAGCACAGAATGTTTACCGTGTCCTCCTTCACTCATTTAGTCTAAGTTGAGACCAATTTATAAATCCTTCCGGCTCAAAAAGGAAAACACTTGAAAGATCCAATATTATTACATCATAACTAATCTTATGGCTACCTCTAAACCCTTCTGAAACGTCATTCATAATTTACCATGTTTACTCGCTGCTCCCATTCGTTGAGCTGCCGCATACGTTCTGTTAACTCGGTAGCCTGGCGCTCCTGATCCAACTGTACGCGATGAATGCGCTGCTCAGCCCCTTGTACATCACGTTGTCTGGCTTCGATATCTGCCATACGCACGGCTTGTGTGGACTCCACATCCTCGGTGATTCGAGTGCGCTGGTGCAGGCGCTCTTCTTCAGCGGACAACTCGCGTCTGAGAAAAATGCCATTTATCATTAGTGTCTTTAAGATGAACAACTAGGAGGCTTTTGAGAAAAGAAAGAGGGATGGCTCACATCAGACACGCTTTAGTCTATTTTGTTCAGAATTAGAACTACAACGTCTAAGAAGAATATATCAATCCATACTAATCCATACAGCCACCGGGTCATAGATTCCTCTTAATCCATTGGTATGAGACAGTTTTGAAGATATTTCAGCCCAGTATATCATCTATAAGTTTTGCGGATAAAATGTCAACAAGTTAATATGATAATTATTAATTTAGATTGATCTCGTCCTCGTAAATAACTCAAATGGGCCTCGAACAATATTATCTTTACTGAATTCTCATATATAAATAAAGTAGGGTTTGAAAATTTTAGTAAAATTTTATATATCACTCGAATAACCCTAGATCTTTTAAAGCTAATTGTGATGACCAGTTATTTAAATCCTGATTTCTTTTTGTTGTATAGAGGTTGTCTGAAATCAAGTTAGCAACTTGGTCATGGTATCGGGACGACTTCGAAAAACATACTGTCACTTTTGTCTTTTATCATATTATTAATAAAATTTTCCCACGATGGACCAGAAACTCGATATTTTCCCGGACGTTTCGTCAGCATCTTATTAGGCATTAAAAGTGAGCCTTTTGAGAATTAGCACCAAGTTACAACTCGAAAAAGAGACGTCGAAGAGGATGCCAGATGCGGTACGTTCTCGAGATCGCCTTAATAGCATGGCAAACTCGGTCAGGCGAGGTCAGACCCATCATTTTGTCTTTAAAGCGGGTGTAAGTACAATAGATACACTAGAAAGACAGGATTTTTTTTCTGAACGTCAAATCTGCCATGTGAGCCCCTTACATACATGCCTGCATAGCAAAACGGTACTGTGGACGCTTAGAACATGCAACCAAGTCTAGAATGAAAGAAATTTATTGACATCTTTAGGCATGTTGATCGATTTGTTTTGGGACATTCAGCCATTATTCTCATACTTTCTTCCAACGACGAAGAATTTACTGGACACATTCACAGAAGTTTCGCTTGATTCGTCAGTGCTTTGCGACTTACTAAGTATCTTGCCACACCTCGCCAAAGCAGAAGGTAAAGTCAAAGTTGGCTCGATAAACTTTATGTTGAAAACTTGTGACATTAAAAATCTATCTGTCCTGATAACGCCCAACGCCTCAACGCCCAGTTTAATCATTCATCCGTAACAATTAATAAGTCCAAGTTTCATCTCTATCCCAATATTCATCCCCAATTATTCCGATACACTAATGGTTTGCTTCTGTTTAAGTGGAGTTGATGAAAATAAGAAGACACAACGGAGCAAATTTTTCGTTCCCTTGCAAACTACTTCACTTATTTTCTACAATCTTGTCCCTCTTGCCCTAGCGTATTCAAGCTTATCTTTCTGGTAACCCGTATTACATCGGCTTCAGCCATCAATCTGTGATACTAGAAGTATTAAAAATATGGCCAGCCTAGAAAGTCATAGAGTACTTTTATATTAGCCTCATTGAAATTGGGATTAGGGGCCTACGAACAGGAACGGCTCAACGCATAATAATAAAATAGTTACACATACAAACGGGGACGAGATATGTCAATGATAGAGCAATATAAGATGAAAATTGAAAGTACATACGAGCTGAAAATAAGGATATATACAAAGAATAATCCCTTGATAGACTGATGTTGAAGTACCTTATATTTTTTATGAAGAGGAAGCCAAGGGAGGGTTGCCTTGGAGCCGCGGCTGTAAATTTATGCGCACAAGTCCTCGGCTTACCATCTCGCGAACCCGATGTCCCATTGCTGATCTTTCATTCATCAATTGACGAACATTGTCAGATCAGAACATCGTGCCTCATGACAATTCACCAAGCACCAAGACAAGAAAGGTGGTCGGCTGAAAAACCACCTACTTCTCATAACCTAACTTTGTCCATTGAATTAGACATTTCATGATTTGGATTAATATTCTACGCTTTCCATAAATGTTTTCTGAAAAGTAAAGTGTCCTGCTATGATCGTGTGCGTCACATGACGAATTCATACTCAACAAAGATTTATCGGGGTCACAGTCTGCCCAGGCAGTGTGCTCTTCCCTCTTCCCTCTTCTAATCTCCAATTTATGAGGTTTCTTTGAAACGGGATGTCTACAGCCTCACTGATCTTTCATTTTCTCTTGTTCTCCCCATATCAGACCAGTCATTCCGTTCTACCCCAGTCAAGGGTTTGTGGCCGGTAATGGCGATATGTTCAGTTTTTTCAGATCTTTCCGTTTCCATTTTTCTGCATAGTCGTTCTCCTTACCGTCTCTTATATGTATTTTTCTTTAAAGTCATTGCAGTTTATGCTGAAAACTCCGGAGCACTCCAGTTTGTTGACTTTTTCATGTTGTATGGACAATATGGTGAAG